AAATGCATACGCAAATGGAATGACCCACATGCTTGAAAGCTGCAAAAACACGAAAGGAGAGCAAATGAGTGCAACAAAATCAAAGAAAGAAACAAAATTTATTCCAACTACGAGACAACCTTTGGGAACAATGGAATGCCATGAAACAAGGAGATAGGAAGAACAATGACATAACAAAGAGTGGGCAGGGACATAGGAGCCCACAAGAGGTAATTGCAATATCCCATTTGAACACCCAAGTGTATCTTTCCATGCCCATAAATGAAAGGGCAATACTTGGAGAAGAAAACTTGGAACATGCCTTCTGACCACCTCGTATGCTGAAGACATGCTACATCCAAGGTTGTTGGAGCTATGCCCAGAAATGCCTTTTTTTCTGGGTTGTAATAAATAGATTTCCAACCCCTACACGAGATTACAAGGCCAGTTGCAACGTCTTCTACAGGAATACCATACACTAATCCCATCTGCAACACTCAGAAGTTTTAATGATCAAAATATCCCCGATTATGAACTGGTTCAAATGGTGTAAAAAATTATTTTCATTACAGAATCCTTTTAAATAGAAATTTAGAAAGCAGACATATACGTACCTCCTTCCCCCATAAGGTGCCCTCTTCATAGGTGCAAGTGGCAAGAGCCTTCGATGCTTCATTCAGTTCATCAATTGTTCTGTTATTGTTTCTTTTAGGCTTCTTCTCCCAATTTACTTTGTAATCTTTCAAGTGAGATCCTGAAAGACTTTCTCTTCTATGTAAGCATCCTGTTCCACAGAACAAGGCTGCTCCATATCCGCATATGCCAGCTAACTCATACTTTATTGCATTACAAAATCAGACTCGATAGTGTTAGTTCATCTTTTTGTGTGACTATATATCATACATACACCGTGTTAACATCTATAGTCTGGGTAAAGTTAATGTTATAAGTAATTTTATTACTCACCTTAGCGGTTACAAGATAAGAATTTCCATACTGGTCATTTTTGGTGATGTTACTGAAGCTTTGGGGAAATTGTACATATGCTATATCTTGTCCTTTTGTTTCGTCCAGGAAAAAACATAGTATTTCTTGAATTGTATCTGCATTATTGGAGTACATGTCACAGTCCAAGTTGAGGATGAAAGGAGCATTGCTTATTTGGGATGATACTCTTATCTGCACAATTGTAAGCCTTTTATTGTTAGATAGTGTTAATAAGCTTAAGACATTCCAAGTTTAATTAGCATACCCTGAATGCAAAAAAAGTTTAAAAAATGTATATTTGATCATTTTTATCAAACATATAGTTAGTGATTTAATCACTCACCAGTGCATTAACAGCACCAGCTTTGAAGTGATGAGGATGGTTGGGTCGTTTCTCTCGTGCCATGTATACCACTGTTGGAAGTTCAAATCCATCTTCATCTACACTATTTCTGTCTCTTCCATCCACTATAATCTAACATAATCATGAACAGATATTAACTACGTAGAAAAACTAATATGTTCTTTATGTTTTCTCAGAAAATTAAAAATGTTCATACCTGCACAATAGACTGGTGATCCTGCTTTGTCGATTTTGGGTTCCATTCTGAGAACCCCCTGTGCTCATTTCTCACATTCTCTGGAAGCTCTCCCTTTACTGCCGCTGATTCAATCTCACTTTTCATTTCCTCGTACAATTTCTGACATACATATATAGATACAATCTCGTTAATTATACATACGTAAATTCAACATGCTTAATAATAAAAAAAAACTTGGTTACCTTGATATGTAAATATGCTTTCTGATACTCAGTGCTAGTGCTTGAATTTTGGGGACGAGCAAAGAAGACTTCCGGGGACCTAGGCTCAACATTGAATCTTCTACAAAAGGGTAACCAATGTTTGGAAAAAGTGGAGGCCTTTAAGAGAGCGTAGAATGTTAGCTCAGAGCCTCCATCGTCAGAGAGATACACGTTCAATTTATTTGCAGGATAGTTGTATGCCATTGCTGATAACACTGTGTTCATCACCATGCATGGAGGTTCCAGTTTTGGATCAGCCGTGCATACAAAAATGTCCACTGCTGGTAAATTCTTCTCATCATATCTGTCAAAAAAAATTGTAGAATGTTAAGAAGTGGACTTTATTTGTTGTTTGTAGAATGTTAAGAAGTGGACTTTATTTGTTGTTTGTTGGATATGTCGTTTCAACCGCTATCGGACCACTCATTAATCTTTAGTCTCACGTTCGAAATGATGTTTATACCTCGGCGTAAGGGAGGTGTATTGAAAGTCTCACCTCAACTAGAGACAAGATAAATTTATAATATATAAGTGGATAACCTCATCTTACAAGCCGATTTTATAGAATTGAGTTAGGCTTAAAGTGCATTTCTTATCATAATATCAGAACTATGATTAAAGTCTATTTTAACTATATTTATAATTTGATGGACATGTTGTTTCACCCCGATCCATCCTAGTGATGTCTATACCTGTGTTGAAAGTTACACAGTGGCGTTTTTTTTTACTATTTAATTGTAATAATCCATAAATAAGTAACGATAAAAGTTGAAATTATATATATAACATTGATAACAGATAAAATCAGTAAGTTATCAACATAAGTTGTGGTGCAGACTTAAACTTTATCTCTTAAATTTGATGCAGAATAGTCTTAAAATGGTCATTTTCTTACCTAAAAAAGACAAAACAAGAAAAGACACAAGACTAAACACCATTTTCGTAAATAAATTAAAAAAGATATATATTTAGAAAATTGAAATCATGTTTTTCATTAAATTTAAAATAATATCTATCATTTCAAAACTTTTTCTACGAAAGGAGAGTAGAAATTAGTGTTTTTGGTGATGCAAAATAATTATAGTTATAGTATAGTAGATTTAGTTAAAATGAACTTTGATAATTTTATATTTAATGAACATTAAAATTACGTTTAATTTAAAAATATTATTTTAATATTTTAAAATTATTTTGTCAAATATATTTTATAATTCTCTTAGCTAATCTGAGCCATATGAATTACTAGTGATCTGTTGCTTTGAAGTTATTTGGTAATTGTTTTAAGGTGTAAATAATTTTGGAATAGTGTAAAGTAAAGTATTGTTGAAAGTGAGTGTTACATTAACCTTCTCTTAGATGGGATTTAATAAATCAGCAATTTGTTTGTTTCTCTTTGTCCAAATAATTTTAAATTGGAAAAAAAAATAGTAGACTTGACGTTTTGAAGACACTTCTGTCTGGTTCGTATCCTCTCTTGAAAGGACATTCTGAAAAAACGAAGAGAAAGAAAAGAAATATATTCTTAGAGAAAAAGAAAGATCTGATATTATTCTTAATTAAAAAAGAAAGAGATAAAAGAAAAAAAATAATCTCCATTGACTATAACACCAGAATGTGTGGTTGCAACTTGCAACATTTGGCAGTCATCCTCAATTTGAAAGGGTAGTTTTCTTTTATATATTTTTTAATCTACTTTTCAATTTTTTTTATTATATCATCGCCGCAGATCCACTTTGTAGACTTTGGGGGTAGTTGCCCCACAAAATTTTAACTTTTTTTAAATAAAATATACACTTATATTACAAATAGTTCACATACTATTAATTACATCATAAAAGCCAAACCAATATATAAAATGAATACTGTCCTAGCATTCTCGCGACATATATTTCAACTTTAAAATGAGGGATGGGAAAAGTAAAAGAAAAAAAATAGAAATTAATAAATATGATGAATGATGCAATAAAAAAAGTTTAATTCTACTTTTATTCAGGTTTTATCTATTCATTTAAATATATATATATATATATATATATATATATATATATATATGATATATTATTATTATAAATTAGAAAAATAAAAATAAAAATGATTTTTAAAAATGTTTAAATCTTTCAAATTTA